CCACTTTGAGGACGGGCTTCCTGTTCTCCCTCGGTGGTTTATTCTTGTGTTTATGGTGGTTTGGGCTTGTGGCTTCCTGTTTTATTTAATGGCTGCAATCCATCAGGATCCTTCCTTATTTTGACGCTCAAATAGTCCTGGATTTGGCCAGTAGGGGCTCCTTCAGGTAGCTTTGAGTCCTTTTGACACGCCCACGTTACTCTCTGAGCGCTTTCTTACTTTCTGGCCCAATAAATTGTTCCCTTTCCCTGTCCCAGCGCTGAAACCAGCCATTTCTTCCCGAAGCCCTGGCTCCCTCTAGTGGAGCGTGGTATTTAGAAGCCAAGAGCTGAGTGGTAGGGGAGTGAGTGTGTGTGTGTGTGTGTGTGCGCGCGCGCGCGCGCACTCATCATCCATCCGAGACTTTTCACCCGTCTACACGTGAAACCATGAGCTCACATAGATGCTCCAACACTGCAGGCTTCATCCCCTCCCCCTCCAACAGTGAGAGTCCCGCCTCTGGACGCACAACCAACTCCTGCTGCTTGGCTGGCTCCTGGCTGCCTGCTGGCCCTGCCCCTCCTCGTTTCCTCCCTCCTCAGCGGGGGAAGCCAGCATGCACACGGACTCACAAGCACTCTGGGGTCCCCCACCTCGGTCACTGCAGCGGCCTGTGTTGCTTGTTTTGCTCTGAGGTTTGGCTGCCAAGGTGCAGAGACAGGCGTCCCCGAGGAGGGCAGGACGTTGCCCACCTGTGCAGCAGCCCCTTTATCATAAGTGATTTTGCCACAATTCATGTTAAGGGAGGTGAGCCGGTCACTGACCTCTGGGTCCAGTGGGTGTCTTCCACGGGCAACGTCCCCACCTCCCCGGGGGGGGGGGCCTCGTCAGAGGCCCGGGTCCGCCATGTGCTTCTGCACATCCAGTAAGTAGGGCTTGGAGCCCTGGTACCCTCTCCCACTTCTGCCCTCCCCCCCCCCCCGGGGGGGGGGGGGCCTCGTCAGAGGCCCGGTTCTGCCCCCCGAGGTGGGCGGGGCCTCCCAGGGCTACCGTGCTGCTGGTACAGGTGCCATGGGCACAGCCGCCAATCCAGTGCCTCCCGGGCCATCGGGACACCCCCTCAGGGGCTGCTGTGCACCCTGTCAGTCACTCTGTGCGCACTCTCTCCTCCAAATCTCTCCTTAATTTAACACCAGCATCTGGAACTAGGCTGCGAGCAGCAGGGGCCCCAGCGGGTCTGGATGCCGTCGAAGGACTGGTCCTAGGTGTGCTCTCGGGTCTTGACCGAGCAACGAGTTTCTGGAGTTGGTGAGGTTCGGGTGCTGGGCGAACCCGTGTTCCTTCACGGTGGTGGGGGGAAGTCGAGCTGAGACGAGGCTGTGAGAGGAGGAGCTGTCACCCTCCCCCTGGGGACAAAGTTGAGATTGTCTGGGAGGCAAGGGAGAGCCCGACTGAAATCAGCATGTTTCTCGAAAGTTAGGTGGTTGATTCTGCTTCCGGGGCAAATGCTGTCAAAGGACGTTGCTCCAGGGTCGTGCACTGGAGTGAACAGCCCGTGGTGGTTACCCGTCCCTGGGCTTCACCAGGCTGCGAATGCGCACCCCCTCCTTACGCCGCTTTGCCTAGGTTTCCCTGACTCTTTGCTCTTTACAAGAGAAAAATCGCCATAGAAAATGCACTCAGATGCTTCACTTCATGTTACCTTTTTGGGGAAAGAAGGAAACGTACTCACTGCAAAGTCCTGTGGTTTAATTAAAACTCTTGCCAGATGGGGGTCTAGGACATATTTGTCACTGCACAAGGAACACACCTGCTGTGGATTGACTGGTGCCCCTCCCCACACAAATCCATCTGTTGGAGCCTCACTCCCAGTGTGACAGGACTTCTAGGAGCTAATTAGGGTTTAAGGGCGGTCTTAAGGGTGAGGACTGGTGCCCTCATAAGGAGAGACACCAGCAGTGTGTCACGTGCCCATAGGAGGGGCCGCGGGGAACCAGCAGGCAGGCGGCGTCTGGAGGGCGGCCCAAGGAGAGCGGCCTCCCCCGAATCCCCCTGCCAGCACCTTGGCTGTGGGCTTCCAGCCTCCAGAACCCCGAGCAAAGAAAATATCTATTGTTTCAGCCCCCCAGTCCGTGGTATAGTGTTACACGACAGCCCTAATAGACTTAATTAAAGGCTTGGCTCTCACGTTTTCAGATGCTACAAGAAGGCTTTTCTTTCCCTATTTCAGTGTTTTCCTCAGGCCCCAGTTCTCTCTCCTCCCCCAATCCCAATTCCAATTTACAGCCCGCACCCGATTTATGAAGCCAGCCCCATGGATTGAGCCGACATCCTCTCCGCTAACCTCTGACCTGCTCCCGACCTCAACCCTCCCTCCAGAGGTTGTTCCCGCCGGGCTGGGCACCCTGGACCAGCTCCTCGGACCATCCTCCGCCCAGATGGACAGGAGGCCACATACGTTTCTCCGTCTGGACCGAGTGGCGTGGAGGTGGCTGTGCAGATTGATACGATATCTTGGAAAGCGTGATCATTGTGGTTTCCTGTCCTGGTGGGAAGAGCCTTTCTTGGTTCAGTAGACCCTCCCGATACCTCTAGACCCTGCGAGCGATGGTCCTCGGGGTGAGCACAGTGAGGTGAGGAAGAGTGTCCCGGCTGGGGTTCCAGCACCCACTTCTCTTGGAGCTCCGCCTGGTAAACTAATTTCCTTCAACTTGAGGGGGGGTGATGCAGACCGCTTTGGATAAATGCTCAGTGAGAACACCCCTTCCGTGGTTCATTTCCTATTTTGCGTCGTTTTATTTTAGTATCACAGTATCATGGTAAACACTGTGTTATTCTAGGGACACCCCTTGGTTTACCACTTAATGCATTTTCTATATATGTAACATTAAAATAGACTTGCCAACTGGAAGAGCAGAATTGAAAAGATGTGATGTCTTTGCAATGCTTTTCCAGATTCCTTGGTCTGAAGGGGTTTGGGGCTTGGCATGGCTTGGAGTCTATCTGCCCCGTGGATGGGGCCTCAGACTACTGGGTGGGGCCGGCTTTTATTGTCGGATTGGAAGTGCACAGCACACTTGAGCCTGGGTGCTCCCTGAGGACGGCCGGTGTCACCCTGCAATCGACAGGGAGGGCACTTCCCTCGCTGGGATTTGTGAGTTTCTCAGGGCTGCTCCTGAGATGGAAGGGAACCAGTGGTTTGTTAAAAGCAAAACGTAAGATTTCCATTTACCTTTCTGAAAGATAATTCTTGTAACCAAAAGCAACTATACATAAAATTTCCAGTATCACTTATCTTTGTCATCGTCTCTGCGTGGCAAAAAGTCATTTTTCAAAGATTCTTCAGTTCAAGTTAACGGGGACTGGTATGCTGGTAAGATAGTGAAATGTAAAACATACTATAAAGGACTGTTTAAAGATAAATTAAAAATTATTTTCCTTGTGAGTCAGAGACTCAGTGCCCTAACAGCGGCCTCTACTCCACTTTCTCTTATTGATACACAAACCATCTGATGATAACTCACTTCCTCAAACAGGTGCCGAGAGGCAGCTCTGTCCTGTGACAGTAAGACGCCTAACTCACATCAGCTCTGAGTTTTGCTCTACGTGGGCTCGCATTCCACAGACCAGAATAAAAGCCAAAGAAGACGGCCATGCAAATATCATTAAAAGTGTATTTTATTTCAATATTCAAGAACAGTGCATACTTTCCACGAGACCCAGGGTCACAGCTCTTGCTGTTGGGTGTAGCCACGAATGGAGGTCACTCAGTCAACAGCTCAAAGATGCAGTGTGTGTGTGTGTGTGTGTGTGTGTAGCAATTTGGAGGTTTTGTTTCGGAAATTTTCTTCCTTTTTTTTTGTCTTATCCTCTCATCATTGAGGCTATATATTAATAGACATTATATTAAACCCACACGAAACATTCAAAATTAGAAGGGGATTAGAGTCGCGTTTGGGCGTTACGTTGACTAGGTCCTCATCTCCGTCCTAGGGGGGGCTGATGCCAGTGTGCGGGGCTCCTTGGAGGGCTTGTGGGAGAGATGCTGAACTCAAAAGGCGGGAATCAGTAGGTTACGGGGGGGGGCGGGGGAGCGCAGGAGATGTCAGCTCGCGTTAGGAAACAGCGGGGTTGGAGGACCTCTGCCCATCCCCACGTGCTCGGCCGGCTATTCGAGAAAGGCCAGCGTACTCGTCGCCAGTGGGTTTCCTGGAGGAAGCGGGCGGGACGGTTACGTTTCCGCGGGGGCGTGGGGGGGGGAGAGGTTAGTGTTTGCCGTGTGCACCACCGTGCTGAGCTACGCCACCTGTCACCTTCGCGCTCACGGTGACCAGCCTGCCACCGCGAGGCTCCCCGGAAACTCCTGCCACCGCTCCGAGCTGCGCCACCTCCCGGCCGGCCGCCGGGCTCGGGGGGAAACAGGTCGTGGCGAGGCCGCTCTGCTGCCCGCCGAGCCTGTGCCGTCGCCGCCCGGTTTCCCAGAAGAGCCCGGCCCGACTCTGCCCCCGCGCGCCCTCTCCGCCCGCGCCGATCCGGCTCATCCGGGTGTGTGAGCCGCGGCCACCACGCGGGACAGTCCCCGCTGCCCGCCCGCCTGTCACGTACCAAAGCGCCCGCCGCCAAGCCGCTCCGCGCCCAGCCGATCGGTTAGAAGGGGAAAGGCTTCGCGGGGTGAGCGGCGGAGGCCGGGAAAGAAACCAAAGGAAGCTCGGAGCCGCACGGTCTGCGCGCCCCGCGCGGTGGTCCCCAGGGCCGCAGCCCCGGGCCATCGCGGGACGGGGGCCGGCGACGGGGGAGGGTCGCCGGCCCCGGCTCTCGGGGGACGTCACTGATCTCCAAGGGCGAGGGGGCAGAGGGGCGGCCGGCCAGAAGCCGGCAGGCCGCGCGCGGGGCCTGCTGTGCGCTGTCGCCAGGGTTAGGGGGCAGCGGCTACGTTAGGGATCTACGGCTCGCGGTTAACTTCCAGGCAGTTGTGTTAAGAAGCTGGGGACGGACGGGATTCCGGGACACGGGGCAGGGCTTCAGCGTCTCGCCATTGGGGACCCCGAACGGCCGTCTCGTCCTCCCTGAGGAAAGGAAACAGAGGGTTAGGAGGGCCGGGGCCGCCCGGCCGCCCCGCGTCCTTGCAGTCACTGGGTCGCCAGCCACGGGGCCTCTTCTGCGTCTGTTGCTGGAAATGATGCCGCACGGAGCAAGTCTTCGACCCCGTGTCTCCAGCATCCTTTAGCCCGTCGGACCTCCAAGTGCCACAGGGCAAATAGGACGCAGAGAGTTGGGGGGGGTCTCGTCTGAAAACGTTGCATTTTCCGGGCGTGAAAAGCTCAACTGATGTATTACCAGGTTTCAAAGGAGATCGTTTCCTCGGCCGAGATTCCCGGGGACCGGGGGAAGCGGCCCGTGAACGAAGACAGGGACAGGCTCCTCTGTGGGAGCTGAGGTGCTGATGTGACTGACGGGCACACCCTTGCTTGGGCCGCCAGGGAGGAGCCACTGCTCAGCTGGTCCCCCCGGGGACAGCCCCCTCCCATGAGCCCTCTTCTGCGTCACCAAGAAAACCAGCCTCCCAGAGGGGCCGGCCACTAACTCCGACCTCAGGGTCTTAAAACATATGAATTGACATGTTTTCTGGACAAATACAATTTGCAATAAAAAAAAAAAAAGAGTTGGCAGTCATGGAGGTGGAGACGGCTGGGCGGGGACAACTGCTTGCAGGGAGCGTGGCTGGGCATCGGCTCTGAGAAGGTGGCACTCGTCACCCCAGATATCACTTAGATTAACTCGGAAAAGGGCACTTTTTTTTTTTTGCCTTTGAATTTTCATTCAAATTTTAGTCTCTTTGGATTTCCCTTTTCTCTTAGGTTATGGATGAAAAATTGACCTCTCAAAGATTCCCTTGAGACTGTGAGACCCCAGAGAGCAAGACAGACATGAAATACCCTGTTGACCAGATGACATACGGGCACCTATTGACCTGACTTCGTCCATGCCTCCGTCCCTCACGTTACCAGAAATAAGGTGACGGAAGCACGAGGGCCCCAGATCCTCATAATTAACGCAGTCAGCCAGAGAGACGGTAGTTCTGATTTCTTGGGGTTTTGCTTTTTCCAGAAACATCCCTATGTTGCTGAACAACTCACCGGAGGAATTTTATTGTCACAAGCGAGAAGGTTTGTGGAATTCTAACCTCTGAAGGTATCAGGAATCACCCAGAGACGCTCCCTCCCAGGGAAGGGGCTTTGTCACCTCTGCCTCAGGGCCACCCTCCTCAGCGGGGACTCGGGTCTGGTCCCGTGTGAGCCCGGCTCAGCTTTGCGTGCTCGGTCCTCAGAGCCGCTGCTGGAGAAGCCCTGATCCAGTTTGCCCTGGCCCACCTTGCCCTGAATTTCCCGCAGATTAACCTGTTAGGGCTCCCTCGATAGTGTGATTTATTCCTGCGCAGGAGCAGAGTCACGGCCCCATCTGACAAAGTACACCTGTGCTGAGATGGAGTCAGCTCCCCACGCCCTGGGCCAGACAGTTCACGGAAGACACCACTGAATGTCCTCGGGGCTCCTTGTGAAATGAAAAATGGCAAATTTGGGGGGTTTATTTTCTATCATCGTGCCTACAATTTATTGAGCATCTCCCGCGAGCTAAATCCGTGACATCTGTTTCCTCTTGTGAACGAGCAAGCCAACCTGGAGGGAGGCGTTGTTAGCATCCCCCTTGCCTGGTCGAAGGAGCTGAAGCTCAGAGAGGTTGCGTAATTTCCCCAAAGTCAGCCAGCCAAAGGGGTTAGAACCCCTGATGAGGAGGGAAATCGTCCTAACTGCAGACGTCTGGGTTCAGCCCTGGGACATTCTTGTTCAGAAGTCTTGGGAGACCCAGAAATGGTCTGGGCATTGGAGGCAACCTCCCGGCCAGGCTTGGGTTACTGGTGGAAACCCTGCGGTTCCGGGGTTAGACCCAGAGCTCCTCCGGGGTCGGTATCCTCGCCGTCTCGCTGCTACGTTTCAGAATCGAGACACGTATATCGTGATGGTCTCTGTTGCTTGGACGTTTAGGTAGAATTTATTTCCTTATCAGATTTGCCTCAGAATTGACATTTTGAAGAGTGGGTCCTGCCTCTGGTTTTTTTGCTTGTTTGTTTGCTTTTGTGTTTCTGTTTTGTGGCTCCGTTGGGTCTTCATTCTTCCGCAGGCTTTCTCTAGTTGCGGAGAGCAGGGGCTACTCTTCGTTGCGGTGCGCGGGCTTCTCATTGCCATGGCTTCTCTTGTTGCGGAGCACGGGCTCTAGGTGCGCGGGCTTCAGTAGTTGTGGCATGTGGGCTCAGTAGTTGTGGCTCGCGGGCTCTAGAGCACAGGCTCAGTAGTTGTGGCGCGTGGGCTTAGTTGCTCTGCAGCATGTGGGATCTTCCTGGACCGGGAATTGAATCCGTGTCCCCTGCATTGGCAGGCGGATTCTTAACCACTGCACCACCAGGGAAGTCCCTGCATTTTATCTGACATTAACCAACTTAGCCATGGTTTACTCACCACTCACTTTAAGGTTTTTCTTGAGGAGACTAAGGGTCCTCAAAGCTGAGTCCTGCTTCACATCACCCACGAGTGTCCAGCATCTTCCAGAATCTGGGTCATGGGGTCCATCCATCCGTGCCATGTGTATATCCCGACTAACAAATACACCACACGTGGGACTCGATATTGAATTAAAGATTAGGTGACCAATCAATGAGTCTTTGGGTTCCTGACCAAATCTTTCCACCATAAATTGTAGAATCTCAACGTTTTAATGAACCAAGTAGGAAGCCCACTTCTGCAGGTCAGAGGTCAGAGGTGATTCAGGTTGAGGGGCCGCTGTGCTTTGCTGGTGGTGACTGAGCCCTTGAGATGGGGCACACGGGGCTGTCAGATCTCCTGGTGACACAACCACGCCACGTACCGCGGAACCTTCTCATGTTAAACCACGTTGTGACCTGCTGTGATCCCAGCAGGTGTTCCCCAGGAGACGCTCCCATTCTCATCCGAGCCCACGAACACCTGGGACAGGAGTCCATGGAAACTCCCGCCTCCCCCAGGTGGCCGCCAGACTGAGGACACGGGGGGGGGGGGGGGGAGGAGGCGGCCACACGGGGGGAGAGTCTGCAAGCCAGAAATAGAGCAACAGATGTAGAGAACAAACCTATGGACAGCAAGGGTGGAAGTTGTGAGGGGGGGGGGGGGGGGGGGGTGGGAGGAAGCTGCCACACGGGGTGAGAATTGGGCTGCGTCTGCCTGTGATGCTGACACCATGATGCTCGAGGACGCAGGATGGTCCTAAGTCCGGGGACCGAGCAGCTAGCTCCCCTCCTGCGGCCGGATCCCGGCTTTCCTTTACCCGCAGGGAGCATCTGATGGTGCTGAGGGCATCGCGGGTGTTGTGTCCTTACAACGCCACTCCCGTCGTAACATATGGATTCTGTGTTTTCCTCACTGGCGTCCGTCTTCCGTATGATGTTTCTTCCAGCTGGAAGAGGAGTTGACTGGACCCTCTTAGCAGTCAGGGCTTTGGTCGTAGTTGGATGTTGGCAGGGAAGTGATGGCCTGTTTGGATGAAGAGTCAGCAGAAGTGACGGCCGGGCAGTTACTCTGATGAGAAAACATGGGACCCGAATATGGTGAAGTTTGTCCCTGCCCAGCTGCCCTGTGAACACGGTTCTGTGCCAGGGATGGCAAGTGCCCTCCTGGAGCCTCAGATCTGCGTGGACACGGCCCCAGCGGCACGGTAGGCTCGCCGTGGGTCCACGGGGTCATCCCAACTCCCAACCCCCTTCCAGCTTTAAGCCTGAAAAGCTGACATGTGGCTAGAACCTGGGCTCAGCCGTCAAAGCCCCGGCTGGGCAGCTGCGGAAATCCACAGGGTTTTCCTTGCTCTCCGGTCCAGGAAGTGCAAAATCTGGTCCCGTTTTTGTTAGTTTCTGCCAGATGGTCTTTCAACATTAGAACATAAGTCACACCGTGTCACTAGATCCCCGGGACCTCCCCATTCAGGGCCGGGGTCAGAGCGCTCAGGAGGGTCCCGGGACCCTCTGTGGGGGGAGCCCCTTACCCCTCCCACCGGTCACTCGGTGCCGCTGCCGCAGCCGCCTCCCTCCTCCGGGACCCCCAGGCCTCCCCGTGCTCCGTCAGCGGTCAGCCGGGAGCCCTGTCCCCGCGCCAGGCCAGCCCCTGCCCGCCTTCGCGCCCCTGCGCCCGCCACCCGCTCCGCCGGGCCGTGTCTGGCGCCCCGCCTGGAATCTCGATGGCCTGGAGGACACAGAGGGGCACGTTCGCGCTCCGCCCATCCCGCCTCCCCGCCAGCATGCGCCGTGTGTTTTCTGTCGCCCGCCCGACAGGACGACACGGCTCCTTTAAGAGGCGGCGGCCTGCGCGTCAGGCTTCGTCCGCACGTGACACCGCACCGAGCAGGCGCTCAGCAAAGCCCGGCGCAGAACCCGCGGGGCCACGGGGGCTGCCGGCGCGCCGGGCCCCGGCGCCACGGCCGGAGCAAGCCCGTCGCTGTGTTAGTCCCGAGGCCTCCGCCACCGCCGCGAAGCCCCTTCCCAAGGCTCTCGGGGCCCCAAGCCTCAGGCGGTGGCGGCATGTTTCCGAGGCTGCGCCTCGTGCCCTGGGGTCTGTGACCTTCCTACGAGGAGCTGTCAGCGGGCCCGGGACGCTCCTGCGACCGGCAGAGGGCGAGCGAACGGAGGCCACACACGTTTCTTCTGCCACCTGGAAGTCGCCTCGGCGTCGGGCGGCCAGCGGAGCGCAGGGGCGGAGCCCGCCGCCCTCAGCCCGTCTGCTCCAGGCCCAGCCCGACTCCCGCCCTCCCGCCTCCGGCCGTCCGGCTTCCTCACAGGTGAGCTTGGCCTCGGTCGGTCAGAAGGCCGCCCTGGACGTGGGCGCCCCCGACCTCCCCCGGGAGGGAGCTGCAGCCTCGCGTCTCCGAGAGGGAAGCTCTGAGAGGCCTGGGGGGAAGGGCCACTGCCGGCCCCCGTCCGAGTCCAGAACCTTCCTTTTCCTCTTCCGTGCGGCTCAGGCCCGGGGTCATGGCGCCCGTCCCCCGTCAGAGGCCCTCCTGAGATGTCGGGTGCTCCGAGCGAGGCCGTCTTGTCACCAGCGGGGGTCGGGGGGGGG